AAAAAAAACACATTTCTAACTTGTGTAAATCTTCTGCCTTTGTAATCTCATCTTCCTCTCAATGCCTGATCCTTACTGAGTGACTGACGCGTTGTTGAAATGATATTTATCTTGTCGTTATAGTCACCACGACAGGTCAGTGTTTGTTTACAGTCCCGTTTTACTCTTTTACAAACGAACCACAACTCATAAATTCTGAAGCACATGACACATTTTTGTTAGTCAGGGATGGGAATTAAGAAGCAGTTCTCAGTAAAAGTTGTATGCCTCTGGGCTTATCGGTTCCTTTTACAGATGCCAGTGTGTTTCTGTGAAAGTTGCACTTTGCAAAACAATGCTTCAGTAAGTGAACAGTCGGGTGCAAACACACAAGATCAGTTTCCCAAAACTTAGAGGTGATGTCCTCAAGTGTCTTGTTTTGTCCACAACCCGAAGATATTCAGTTTACTTTCATCAAAACACTAAAAAAACAGAAAATACTCACATTTGTGAAGCTTATTTCCAACATGACACAACGATTAATCGATTATCAGAATAGTTGAGATTAATTTAAAAGTTGGCAGCTAATCGCGTAATCGTTGCAGCTCTATAAATCTAAGTCCTGTCATTTTTGAGTTCATTCGTTGAATTAAATAAAAAATAATAGCATACACAGTCATAATCACAGTAATTCACTAATGATTCCTGAACACACACTAACAGAAACCCTGTAGAACCAATAATAACCAGTCTGATTCCTCCTGTCTTACAGAGAACCCGTGCCCGGAGCAGGGGGACATCATCCAGATCAAGCTGAGCGAACACACGGAGGTCTTGCCCAAAGCCGACGGCACCGGCAGCACCACCATGCTGGTGGACACAGTCTTCGAAATGAACTACTCCACAGGACAGTGGACCCGCCTCAAGAAATACAAACCCATCACCAATACCTCCTGAGCACTCAGAATCACACCCCCAAAAAGATTTCTTATCCACTTAAAAAAAAAACAAAAAAAAAAACATGTTTACACACATACAAGTATTTGCATACACATTTGGGCCAAATCAAGCACTGGGCGGGTGAGGGATCGTCAAGGAGAGAAAGGTCCTCCCTTCTCCTGCACCGCCAAAATGCAGGACTCTTTGAAGAATATTTCTGTACTTTTTGTTTGATTGTTACCCATGCCATTTTATTGTTTCTGTTTTTAAGTCACCTCCGATTCCTGAATGATGCTGTGGTCAGGAGGGGTGAGAGAGAGAGAGAGCTTATACGAGTCTGAGCAGAAGAAAAAAGAAAAAAAAAACCCTTTCAACATTTGTACTCTGAGGTACAAGCATGTCTCGTGTCTAGAGCGACGAAAAAGACGAGCTGTCCGTGTTTTTCTGTATGAATGTGACGTTCGCAGCTTATCTTCGACCTTTTAGAAACAGAATCATGATTTGTGAGACGCACTAGAAAGAGAACAATAATCGTATCATCGTAGAGGTGACCAAAAGCGAGCGGTGAGTAGTTCTCAATGCTGTCAAAGTTCTGTTTGGAGCCTTCTGGTAGATGTTTAATAATTTTTCATCCTTTTTTCAAAAGAAGGGAAGAAAATAAAGTGACGACAGACTCAAGGAGGCCTTTCTTATCTTTCTTACCAACTTTTAAGGTTTTTTTGGGGGGAAAGGCTGAGCGTTTTGTGTGCCTCTCCCCCCTCAATACATTTACATTACAGCGGAATAATCACATGCTGACCAGTGTATTAAATTCGTCATGCATCAACATGAAGAGAGACCCTTTGTAGCAGGTTCACATCAGCATTTTGGCCCAAATGGGATTAAACTGTGTCCTTGTGATCACACTTACCTGCTGGGTTTAAAGGTCTAGTTCAGACCAGAACTAATCCCACACATAACCCCTGATAAAACCACATCCTGGTGGATTTTTATGTTTCTTTGTGCCGATGAAACGAGATAAAAATGTGTTCACTAGAGATCTTTAGAGCATCTGGTCGGTGGATTTGTTACCTTTTGGACAGAGCCAAACTTCCCCGTTTCTAGTCTTTGTGCTAAACTAATCCGCTGCCGGCTGTAGCTTTATATTTACCACAAAGACATAAGTTGTATCGATCCTCTCATCAAAGTCTCTGCCAGAAAGCTTAAAAGCATATTCCCCAAAATGTGAAACTCTTCCTTTTAAATGATGAAAATATGTGACGTCCAGCTCCTGGTTGAATGGATTGCACTGACAAATAGTCTTTTGAAGTAAAGTTTTGCTGTAGTTAGAACCAGTTTACCTTTAATATTGTAATTTAAAGCTGCAGTCTGTAGGATTTTGTGGCGTCTAGCGGTGTAGTTGCAGATTGCAACTCACTCACTTCACCCTCATTTTCCAAACACATGAGAGAAACCACAGTAGCTGTGAAACTCTTAACAGCCTTATATAGAGCCAGTTTTTGATTTGTCCATTCTGGGCTACTGTAAAAACATGTCCGGCTCCATTGAAGACGATCTGTAGATTAAAAAACGTCTCATTCTAAGGTAACAAAAACAAACAATTCTTA